AGCACTCTGATGTGATTGTTTGTAGGATGCACAGACGTATGCAGATGACAACAGCTTGCTGTTCATGGAGACGTCGGCAAAGACAGCGATGAATGTGAATGAAATCTTCATGGCAATAGGTAACGGCCTGTGTGCAGGGCTGGGGTAGCTCTGAGTGCCAGCAGTGCAGCTTGGGGGGGGTCCTGTGTCACCCAGGGGCTAGTGCCTCTTACTGGGGAATATGTCCAGTTTGCCACACTGGTGTCACTCTCTGAGCGTGTGGCGTCTTTGCCTTGCAAAACTGGGTCCCTCTCTCTGGTCTGGGCTGGTGAGAGAGGAGGGAGCAGAGCTGATGCCAGCCAGAATCAGGAGTGGGCTGGTTTGCCGTGCAGTGCTGCTGGCAGTGTCGTGTCCCAGACTCCTTTGGAGGTGGGGATTTGGGATGGAACAGGCAGAGCCCAGCCTGGGAGGTGCAGTGGGAGGCGGTTGGCCTCTGTAGAGGACCCTACTAATGTCCTGCTTCCTTCTAGCCAAGAAACTGCCAAAAAATGAACCCCAGAATGCTCCTGGTGGCCCAGGCAGGAATCGGGTGGTGGACCTTCAGGAGAGCAGCCAGCCGAGCAGGAGCCAGTGCTGCAGCAACTGAGCAGCTGCTCCGGCCCGCGAGCCCTCAGAGGACGTGACTGGAACCCACGCTAACGATCGCACTTACCGTAGGGCGGCCGCTGCCGGCGCCGCTGTGATTCTCCATCCCTTTCTGATCATAGGCTGGAGGGAGTTCTTCCACCTGCACCTTTCTGTACAAATACTAATTCAATTCTAAGTCTTAAGTCACTTTTTTAATATATGAACTTCTGCTCTTCCCTCTTCCTGGTGGTGGTGGATGCAGGACCCGGTGTCTGCCCAGCCAGCGCGGCCGTCCCGCGGGTGAGGCCAGCAGCACCCAGGTCCCACAGCACTGTAGTTCACTATGGGAAACAAAGGGATATTGGGACACGTGTTTAAAGTTCCCTGTCTGTAAGAGCTGAGGCTGATCCCGTACGATGTGCCCAGAACAACCACTAAACTGTAGCATTAGAGACAAACTCCGGCTCTTGGGCCACTTATTGACCAAATCAGTGATGAGTATTCGGGGTGGGGCAGAGGGAAGCAAAACTGGTTTCTTCTGTATTTTGTATTGTATGTTTCTCCATGTAACCAATCAGTATCTTGTCAATATAGTACATCCAACGAGCTGCCTGTTGTCTTTCTTTGTGTTGGACTCCAGCATGCCAACTCTTCTTTTCTCTCTGTTCTGTCGTAATGCACTAATCCTGTTGCAATTTTTGCAAAAGATCTTGTATAGAAAATTGTCCTTTTCTTGATGGTTGTGATGCCACTAATGTTGTTAACCCTGCTCTGGTGGGAATACACAAGGTTTACTGATGTACAGAGGTGGGGTGGGGGAAACCTCGGGTAACCTGTCAGTGGGAACGACGTGTATTGCAAAAGCCTGTAATTCCACAAAGAATGAAGGGAGGTATTAAATGGCTTCTGTTGCCAGACTCTAACTGATGTTGGCTGCTGCCTAGTGCCTAATGCAGTGTCTTATGCATCCTGGTATTTAAGAGGAACTGTCAACTTAGTCTTCACCACAAACTTCAGTTTTGTGTGATTAAAACAAAATTTTTATAAACCTACCATAACAACAATGTTCATGTTTCTTAATGCAGCAGGGACTGGACCTGAACACAACAGTTCTGCTGGAGGCTGAGGTGTGCTGGGCTGCTCCTGGTATGTCCCACATCTTGGTAGGGAAATGGGGACTTTCCTTCCTGGGGAGGGAGAAATGGATCTCCTGAGCTGGGGTTGTGCTGCTGCTCCTGCTCACAGTGATGCTGCTGGTGTTCACTCAGCTTCAGTGTGCTCAAGGAAGCTTAAGGCAAATAGTGGGAATTATTCCTTGCCTGATACTTCTGGGGAAACTCTGCAGTGCAAGTTGGGAAGAGGTAGGGGGAGCAGTGTGTGGAGAAGCTCAGCTCCATGGTGGGACAGGCTTGGGAATGCTGCTCCAGAATTAATGAACACAATGCCTCTGTCCCTGGAGTGTTATGGCCTTGGAAGATGCTGCTCTGCTGTTGCTGCTGCATGGACTGTGAGACCCTGACACCCACTGACCTGGAGTCAATATGGGAGATGGAGCAGCCCCCTGCAGCTCCACTCCTACCACGTGTGCTGCACCATTCCTGCTGGGAGAGGCTGAGGATGGAGATGTGCTGCACCTGGAACCTGCTGCCCCTCCCTTTCTCAGCTGTGGGGTTGCTGCTGCTCAGCTGCGGGAGAGCTGTGAATAGAGTTGTGTGAACAGCCCTGGCTCATGTGGGCTTCATCCTCTATCCAAGGTCTCGGTGCCTCTTCCTCATGCTGCATTTCTTTAAAATCCTGGAAGCAGGAAGGGTCTGGAATGACTTGGTGACTGAGGGACTCATGCTGGAGTCTGGCTGCCTGCAGGATGGGGGCGCTGGTGGCCCCCCCAGTGGGGTTCACTCACCTGGTGCTGCTTGTGCCTGGGCTGCTCAGCTGCTGGAGGAGCTCACAAACTCTGGGGGATCCCTGAGCTCTTGGTGCTTACAGATTGAGGGGGGACTAGTGCTACTGGTTTCCCCAGGCAGCCACAGTTGGACCTGTAGGAGAATGGCTTTCCTGATCCCCCTTGGAACAATCCTACAGACACTGCAGTGCTGTTGCCATCTGCTGGCTCCTCTTCCTGGCTCCTTCCAGGACTTGGGGTCTAGTCTCTGTGAAGATGCTGGCAGTGCCCTAAGGAGGGTCTCACTGCTGCAGGAGCAGGGGCTCAGTATTGGGGCTGGGGACCCACTGCTGTTCCTGGTGTGTCTCTGGAATGGGCTGTCTGTTGTGGGAGCAGCTTTAGCATAAACAGGTGTGCCTGCCCCACATACCTGCTGCCTGCCCGGGCCTGAGCGCGGGCGTTTGTGGTGCTTACGCACCGTGCCTGGGGTTGGGCTTTTCCCTCCCTGCTGCTCAGAGCTCAGGGGGGCTCCAGCAGCCCCTCACCAAGCTGTGGGGGGAAAGTGTGGGTACAATAGCTGTACCCACACCCAGCTGGGCCATCCAGGGTGGTTCTCTCACCATTCTGTGGCACTGGCCAGGGCTGTGGAGCTGGAGTGGATGCTGACAGCAGTGTAAGGAAGGGGTGAGTGTGGTACAGGTGAGTGGGGCTGCCTCTGTGCCTGGGACCTTCCTGCCTACCCCTCTCCCCAAGCAGCACAGAGCTCCCAGATCCCTTCCCTCCCTCTGGGTCTGCTGTCGACCCCATTTTGTGCTGCCCTGAGAAGCGAGACGTTTTTCCCTCTCTGTGCATCCAGATCCAGAGGCAAGAGCAGGGCGCAGCCTCCCCGTCAATCAACACCCAGAGAGCACATGAAGGTTCTATGCAAAAGTATTTTTATTGGATACAAAAACATTCCAGTATAGTGAAAAAAATGACATCATTGCTGATGGAGCTTGTCTGGGCTTAAACCCAAGACTTGCTCCTGTCTGCTCCGGTCCTGCCGTGGCCATGGGGTCCCATCCAGTTACACCTGGGCTTTGTTGGCAGCTCCGTCCTCAGAGGCTGGTCCAGGCTGTGGGGCTGCAGGGCTGACCTGGATGGGCACATTCCTCTCCGGAGCAGCCGGCAGGGCCAGCTTGGGGGCCTCGATGCGGAGCTGCCCGTCCTTCGACAGGGAGCAGGTCAGCGCCTCGGCGTCCACCTCCTCGGGCACGTCCCACTCCCGCTTCAGCACCTCGTACTTGTAGGAGAAGGAGCCCTTCTCGTCGACGTTCTGCGTCTCCTTCTGCCCCACCAGCACCACCTTCCTGCCCACCACCTTCACCGACAGCTGCTCAGGAGCGAAGTTCTTCACGTCCTGGCAGACGGAGAAGCCGTCCCCGGAGCACTGGGCCAGGGTCGTGCTGGTGCTCGGGGCGCGCTCCGCTGCGATGGCTCCGTGGTTGCTCAGAAGCTGCTCGAAGCTGCTCATGAACTCCCGAGCTTTCTCCATCTCCTGCTGCAGCTCAGTGAAGATGGTCTCTGCGTGTGGCCAGAGGGTCCTCACCGTGCCCAGACGGCTGGCCAGGGAGCTGGAGGCGAATGGTGCGAGGTGCATCCGGCAAAGCATCGCTGCTGCTGCTGCTGTTGTTGCTGCTGTTGTTGCTGTTGCTGCTGCTTCTTTCCCCTCTCCAGTGGGCTGGAAGCGTTCTGCCCCGCTGCTGCCGGCCGAGCCTTTTATTCCCGTTCGCTGGAGGCGTGGCCTCGTCCCGAAAATTACGTCACCTTCGGGAGAAGAGCTCAGCTCTTTCCAGCCCGTTCCAGCTCATTCTTGTTACTCACCCGTGAGGAGAGGCGCTGCTGACGTCGTGCCCGGCATACCTTCGGCCTGACTCTTGCACCTCTGCTCTCCTGGCTTATAATTAGCAGCATCACCTCAGCCTCTGTGTGGGATGCCTGAGCCACCCCTGCCAAAAATCTGTGCCCTTTCCCTTTCCCAGGCAGGGAGCAGGGCCGGGCTTGTTTCCTCCCACCCTTACCTGGGGCCCATTTCCCCCATCTGCAGCCAGGAGAGCCCCTCTGCCCCCTTCCCTGTTTGCAGGACCCTCAGTGCTCAGGGAGGTCCCCCCAGGTGAGACCAGGAGCCAGGGTGCACAGTGGGGTGCTGAGGGGTTGTGACAGGACGGGGGGGTCCCAGAAAGTGTGAGAGATGTCTGGCAGAGGGTGACAAGGGACACGTTGTTTTAGAGGTGGGATTGTCCCTGTACTGGCCAAAGGGATGTGCTCCTGGCACTGCAAAGCCTGGCCCCACCAAGCCCCCAGCACAGGGGCCAGGGAAGGGCTCTGGGGGCCCGGGGGTGCTGCTGCATCACTGTGGCTCTGCAGAAACCTGAGCTCCCAGTGGTGATTGCAGCTCCCTATTTGCGGCGTGTGACTCGTCCCCAGAAACAGGCACAGCTATTTTGGCTGGTGGATAATCAGCCTCTCAAAAATAGGCGATGGCTCCAGGAGGGTGCGTGGGGAGAGAGCGTTCTGGAAGGGGCACACCCCTGGGCAGGGGAGCATAAAACCCGCTGCTCCCTGGCCCCAACCCAGCACCGCTCCAGCCGCTGCACCGAGCAGAGCCACAGCACAGCCGGAGCATTTGCCAGGAGCAGAGATGCTTTGCCGCCTGCACTTCATGCCGCCCATGTCCAGCTCGCTGTTCCCGTGGCTGGGACCCGTCCGCACCCTCTGGCCTCATCCAGGCACCCTCTTCGCCGAGCTGGAGCGGGAGATGCGGCTGGAGATGGAAAGGGCTCGGGAGTTCATGAGCAGCGTCGAGCAGTACCTGAGCACTGGGAGCAGCCCCGGGCGGGTCGGCATCGCTCCGAGCACCAGCGCAGCCCTGACCCAGGGCTCCGGGGATGGCTTCTCCGTCTGCCAGGACGTGAAGGACTTTGCGCCCGAGCAGCTGTCGGTGAAGGTGGTGGGAAGGAAGGTGGTGCTGGTGGGGCAGAAGGAGACGCAGAGCACGGATGAGAAGGGCTCCTTCTCCTACAAGTACGAGGTGCTGAAGCGGGAGTGGGACGTGCCCGAGGAGGTGGACGCCGAGGCGCTGACCTGCTCCCTGTCGAAGGACGGGCAGCTCCGCATCGAGGCCCCCAAGCTGGCCCTGCCGGCTGCTCCGGAGAGGAATGTGCCCATCCAGATGGGGCCGGCGGTGGCACAGGTAGCAGCCAGTGCTGATGATGGAGCTGAACGGGCCAAGGCGTGATGGGGAGCAGCAGGGGCCGGGCTGAGCCTGGCAGATGGGGCAGCTACTGGCCACAGAGCGGGACCGTGCTGGGACTGCGCGATGGCCCAGGGGGTGGTGTCTGCCCAGAACATGCAGCTTTTTTATATGTAATAAATATTCCTGACTTTTATTTGTGTGATTTCTGTGTTTCTGGTCTTGCCCAGCCCTGTGCTTTGCAATGCTCCTACCTCTACCCACGCAGTGGGATGGCAGGGTGGGAAGTAGGGCTGTGCTGGCACAGGGCATGTCCCTGGCACCTCTCCCCAGCCCTGCCCTGGCAGAGGAGGTTGGGCAAGGGGCTTCCAGCCCGTGCACAGTGCTGAGAATCCCCGGTAGGTCCTGAGCATCCCCCTGGGCAGCCTTCGGACACCCGACCCGCGTCTTCGGGAACACTCTCGTGCGGTACCTGCTGGGCCACGTGCCGAGCTGTGCCCGCACCCCCCGGGCCGCCCCCCCCGTTGCTGGCACCTTCCAGGCGCTGCCCGCGGCTCGGCCCGGCGCCAGGCCCCGCTCCCGCCAAGCCACGCCCCTCGTGGGAATGGGCGTGACCTCCTATAAAGGACCACGGGGCGGGGCCACCTCATGACATCATTGGGGCGGGGCCACAACCATACCGGGCGTTTGGCCACGCCCCGCGTGGCCGCGAGGGACAGGGGGCGTGACCACCTCCATATATGGAGAAAAGAGCGGGGTCATATAGCACATTTAGAGAGGGCGTGGCCACACCCCATATTTGGAGGAGAGGGGTCATAGAGCATATTTAGAGGGGGCGTGACCACACTCCATATTTGGAGGGGTCCGCGGGGTCGTGCGCCGCCGGACCGGGATCGGTACCGGTTATCGGAGGGACCGGGGCGCTTCTCTGGGCACCGATGGCTCGGCACCGCCCCGGCACAGGCTGTCGCCGTGGGTCGTCGCGGCCGGACCTTGATCCCCCTTGGCCGTCAGCAAACCCGGGCGGGAGCTCTGCTCTGCTCCCTGCCGGGGCTGCAGGTGATGTGAACCGGCCCCGGGAGGCCCGGCCCGGGAGCCCCGGCCCCACCTCCGCCGCCTCAGCGGACTACGGCTCCCGGCGTGCCCGGCGCGCAGGCGCAGTGAGCGCGGGGCGCACGCCGGGCCCGGCATGGCGGAGCCGGAGGCCGCGCAGCCCGGGCGGCCCCCGCCGGGTCCGGGCACGGGAACGGCGGCAGCGGCGGGGGGAAGCGGCGTAGCGGCGGGAGGAGCGGGATCCAGCGACCCGGCCCGGCCCGGGCTGAGCCAGCAGCAGCGGGCGAGCCAGCGCAAGGCGCAGGTGCGGGGGTTCCCCCGCGGGAAGAAGCTGGAGAAGCTGGGGGTCTTCTCGGCTTGCAAGGTGGGGGACACCGGGACCCGGGGGGGCAGGGGGTGCAGGAGGTGGGGTTCAAGGCTGTGCGTGGGTGGGGGATGCAGGAGAGGGGCGCAGGGGGCGCAGGAGGGGGGATGCAAGGACGGGCATGGGTGGGCGGTGCAGGGGATGTAGGAATGGAGGGTTCAAGGCTGGGCATGGGTGAAGGATGCAGGAGGAGGGTGCTGACCTGGGTGGGGGATGCAGGCAGGGGTGCAGGGACGTCTATGGGTATAGGATGCAGGAGGGGGGCTCAGGGGTGCAAGAGGGTGGGTGCAAGGGGTGCAGGAGCGGGTGCTGGCCTGTACAGGGGGTACAGGAGGGAGTGCTGGGCTGTGCATGGGCAGGGGTTGCAGGAGGAGGGCGCTCAGTTGTCTAAAGGAGATGCAGGGACATCCCTGGGCAGGCACTTCAGGGTCCTGGGGCTGCACGCAGAGAAGTGTCGGAGTGGTGGGAGATGCCAGGTGAGGGCTGAGAAAAGCTGATGGGGGTCAACAGGGCTAAGTGGGAACCAGGGAAATCATTTGGCCCTAGAAGGTGGCTGCCTTGGCACGTGGCAGCCACTGTGACGGCCACTCCTGTCCCTCGTCCCAGGCCAACGACGCCTGCAAGTGCAATGGCTGGAAGAACCCCAACCCCCCCACAGCCCCCCGCATGGACCTGCAGCAGCCGGTGACCAACCTGAGCGAGCCCTGCCGGAGCTGTGGCCACACACTGGGTAACCACTGCGGGACCCCTGGGCAGGGCAGTGGTGCTGACCCCATCCCAGTCTCACCACGGCTTTCTCTCCGGCACAGCGGACCACGTGTCCCACCTGGAGAACGTCTCAGAGGAGGAGATCAACCGTCTGCTGGGCATGGTGGTGGATGTGGAGAACCTCTTCATGTCCGTGCACAAGGAAGAGGACACGGACACCAAGCAGGTGTATTTCTACCTGTTCAAGGTGCGTCTGGGGCTGGGCACTTCTCACTGCCCCACCTCCAGGGGGCTTGTGCAGAGTCCCTGGGCATTGCAGGGGAGCTGGGGCTGCTGTCACACTGCTCGTGCTCTGCTGGGGGTGGAGCTGTGGCTGTGAGCTGTCCCACAGCCCAGCCAGAGACCTGACCTGGAGTGACTTCCTGGCTTGGAATTTCCTGGGAGGGGGGTTTCTAGGGCATGAATGAGCATGCTCCTAGGGGGACCCTGATGCCTTCCTGACTGTAGAAATCAGAGCAGCCCCGTGGCAGCATTTGGCCACCTCCACCACTGCTGGAGCAGCTGGTTCCTGGGCCTGTGGTGACCATGTGGTGTCTTTGTAGCTGCTGCGAAAGTGCATCCTGCAGATGAGCCAGCCTGTGGTCGAGGGGTCCCTGGGGAGCCCTCCCTTTGAGAAACCAAACATTGAGCAGGTGAGTCTGCTGTCAGGCTCGTGCACTGCCCTGATAGCTTGTCCTGTGTTCTGCTGCTCTTGCATGGTCCCCTCGCTTTTCGGGAGGCAGCACAGGAGGGCCCGGAGCAGTCCCTGGCACCCTCCCACCACCCCATCCCCTCCCCAGGGAGTCCTGAACTTTGTGCAGTACAAGTTCAGCCACTTGCCGCCCAAGGAGCGCCAGACCATGTACGAGCTCTCCAAGATGTTCCTGCTCTGCCTCAACTACTGGAAGCTGGAAACGCCGTCACAGTTCCGGCAGCGCTCCCAGAACGACGATGTGGCCACCTACAAAGTCAACTACACCAGGTGAGGACAGGGAGGGTGCTGAGCCAGCCACCCTGAGGTCTGACTCCGGGACTCTCCCCAGCTTTCCCAGATTGTTGGTCCCTTAGGAGAGCCGGCATCCAGTGGGGACACCGCTTCCAAATGTCAGCCATGCCCTCCATCCACCTGCTCCCCTCCTGGCAGCCTTGTCCCAGGAGGGATATGGATGCTCTGGAGTCTCCGGTCACTGGAGCCCCTTCTTGTCCCATAGGTGGCTGTGCTACTGCCACGTGCCACAGAGCTGTGACAGCCTGCCCCGCTACGAGACCACCCACGTCTTCGGGCGCAGCCTCCTTAAGTCCATCTTCACGGTCACCCGCCGGCAGCTGCTGGAGAAGTTCCGTGTGGAGAAGGACAAGCTGGTGCCAGAGAAGCGGACGCTGATCCTCACCCACTTCCCCAAGTAGGTGCCCCGTGTGGGGGTGGCTGCTGGAGTACTGAGGGGGCTCCTCCCTTGGGACCCCTGCACACCAACGTGCCACTCCCTGCCAGGTTCCTCTCCATGCTGGAGGAGGAGATCTACGGCGAGAACTCTCCGATTTGGGAGGCCGATTTCACGGTGCCAGCCACAGAGGGTGCCCAGCTGGTGTCTCGCCCAGGTATTTTGGGGAGCAGCCCCCCAATTTGGTGGCTGTGGGATAAAGGGCCGAGGTGTGGGTGAGCCATGGTGGTGGCAGTGGCTGGGCTGCCGTGGCGTGACGAGGTGCTTTCTGGCTGTCACGGGCACCTTGGGTCTGTTCCAGCTGCGGTCAGCACTGTTGCCGTGCCCACCACTCCGCTCTTCAGCAAGAAGCTCAGCAGCAGCAGCTCGGCTGCCAGCCTGGATGCCAGTGCACCGGAGCCCCTGCCAGGTAGGACCAGTGTGAGCCTGTGTCACAGAGCTGGAACGGTCCCTGGTCCCTCCCAGTGCTGGATGTGCCGCTCTGCTCTGCTCCCAGGGGAGAAGCGGAAGCTGCCCGAGAGCCTGACACTGGAAGATGCCAAGCGGATCCGTGTCATGGGAGACATCCCCATGGAGCTGGTGAACGAGGTCATGTTGACCATCACGGACCCCGCTGCCATGCTGGGCCCTGAGGTAGGGGCTGGGGATGCTGAGGTGGCTCCGGTGCTCTCTGTGGCCCACAGAGCTTCTTTCTCAGTGTGCCAGGGTGGAGTGGGGCTCCCCCCACAGCAGCTGTGCGGGGCCAGTGACCCCCACCCTGCCCCCCCAGACCAGCCTGCTGTCGGCCAACGCGGCGCGGGACGAGACGGCGCGGCTGGAGGAGCGGCGCGGCATCATCGAGTTCCACGTCATCGGCAACTCCCTCTCACAGAAGTCCAACAAGAAGATCCTGATGTGGCTGGTGGGGCTGCAGAACGTCTTCTCGCACCAGCTGCCCCGCATGCCCAAGGAGTACATCACTCGCCTCGTCTTTGACCCGTGCGTGGCTGAGGGGCGCGGGGGGGCTGGTCTGGGGGGCTCTCCTCACCCTCGGCCGTGCTGCCCGCAGGAAGCACAAGACCCTGGCACTGATCAAGGACGGCCGAGTGATCGGGGGGATCTGCTTCCGCATGTTCCCCACCCAGGGCTTCACGGAGATTGTCTTCTGTGCTGTCACCTCCAACGAGCAAGTGAAGGTGAGAGCGGGGAGAAGAGGGGTGGGCGCATGTGAGGGTTCCCAGCAGCCCAGCATGAACAGATTGGTCTTGCTGTAGATGGAGTAGGGGTGCCCCAGCCCCTTGGGCAGCCAGACCTGCTCACCACTGTCCAGCCCCAAATGGTGGTAGTTGCTCCAGGACCTCTTCCAGCTGCCATGTCCATGCTGGTAGGGGGCTGTGCATCCCAACTCGGGCTGCCTGGGGGTTCCCTGTCTCACGGCGACTCCCCCAGGGCTATGGGACGCACCTGATGAACCACCTGAAGGAGTACCACATCAAGCACAACATCCTCTACTTCCTCACCTATGCAGACGAGTACGCCATCGGCTACTTCAAAAAGCAGGTGGGCTCCTTCTCCTGGGCAAGCCCCCACCGGCCCTGCTGCCCTGCTGCC